ACGTTCAATACTGAAGATGTGAGCGAGACACTTAGTAACGTAACGTGGAAATCAACTTTCTGTCTGTTGTCCGAATATCATTATTGAAATGTGGACCCCATTCAGCCAAACACAATATCTCCATTACATCTCATACCATATAAATATTACTGTCTTCCAGTTTTAGCCCTCTGTAACAAAATGTAACGTAACGTAACGCGGAAATCATCAACTTTTTGCAGTCCAAAATGCCATTTTGACATGAAAAGTGAGACTTAGTCCATCTCCATTACATCTCCTACCATATAAATATTACTGTGTGACAGTTTTAGCCCCTGTAACACTTGTAACATAACGTGGAAATCAAGTTTCTACAGACCAAAATAACAATTTTTTAAATGAAAGTATGACTTAATCCATCTCATACCATATAAATATTACTTTCTACCAGTTTTAACCCCTGTAACACTTGTAACGTAACGCAAATCAACTTTCTGCAGTCCAAAATAACATTTTTAAATGAAAGTATGACTTAGCCCATCTCCATTACATCTCATACTATATAAATATTACTTTCTACCAGTTTTAGCCCCTGTAACACTTGTAATGTAACGTGGAAATCAACTTTCTGTCTAATGACCAAATAACATTATTGAAATGAAAAGTGAGACTTAGCCCATCTCCATCACATCTCTCAGCATATAAATATTAGTGTCTACCAGTTTTAGCCCCTGTAACACATTGTAACGTAACGTGGAAAATCAACTTTCTGTCTGATGACCAAATAACATTATTGAAAATGTAAACCATGTTTAGCCATTACATCCAAACACAAATAAAATATTACCGCAGGTTGTTTAGTTCTTGTAATACTTTATATCGTTACGTAACGTAACGTGGAAATCATCTTTCTGTCTGATGACCAAATATCATTTTTTGTAAATGTGAAGCTTTGTAGATTCAATTTTAAACACAGGTGTGTTACTACTCCACGAACTAAGAGTGGTGCGTTAGGAAGAAGAATGACCCTACACACAGCCTCTACATAGCAATACTTACTCACATCTTTTAATCAAAACTATTATCTACACACAGGATTAAGTCTACGGCAAGCACACATATTCCACATATTCCACACCCAATCCACATATTCCATACTCTAGCACATACCCTCACATACCCACATCCCACATACTCTCCTACCCCCCCCCCCCCATCTTTCCTGACCGCATACCCAAACACCGGACGCTCACACGCGTTCGACACGCCCCAACATCCGGGAAAATTCCTCTACAACCCTATGTGGCTACATACCTTTGCCCCATCTGGCCAGCTGGCTCTAATAGAGCCACCTGGCCAGATGGTGAGCACGGTTCTAGTCACATATTTCACTACTGAGCCGTTCCTTCACTCTATTTCATACATAAATATATATGCACAACAGAGAATGAAAGGGAACTAAAATAAGAGAGAGAGAGAGAGAGAGAGAGAGAGAGAGAGAGAGAGAGAGAGAGAGAGAGAGAGAGAGAGAGAGAGAGAGAGAGAGAGAGAGAGAGAGAGAGAGAGAGAGAGAGAGAGAGAGAGAGAGAGAGAGAGAGAGAGAGAGAGAGAGAGAGAGAGAGAGAGAGAGAGAGAGAGAGAGAGAGAGAGAGAGAGAGAGAGAGAGAGAGAGAGAGAGAGAGTGCATATATGTGTTGTAAGGTGATCTTAGAAGTGAGTTCTGGTTCAAAAATGATCTTAGAAACGAACTTTGGTTGTAAAGTGATGTTTGCAGTGAGGAATTGTTGTAAAGTGATCTTATAAGTGAGGTGTGGTTGTAAAGTGTTCATGGAAGAGAGGTGTTGTTGAAAAGTGATCTTAGGAATTAGCTCTGGCTGTAAAGTGATCTTAGAAGTTATGCATTGATGTAAATTGTTCTTTGTAGTGACATGTGGTTGTAAAGTGATCTTTGAAGAGAGGTGTTGTTGTATAGGGATCTTAAAAGTTATGTCCAATTGTAAAGTGGTCTTAGAAGTAAGGTGTTGTTGTAAAGTGATCTGACCTTCCAAGCCATCAAGACCAGCATCACCTTACTGACCTTCCAAGCCATCAAGGTTCAGCATCACCTTACTCACCTTCGAAGCCATCAAGGTCAGCATCACCTTACTGACCTTCGAAGCCATCAAGGTCAGCATCACCTTACTGACCTTACAAGCCATCAAGGCTTAGCATCACCTTACTGACCTCCCAAGTCATCAAGGCTCAGCATCACCTTACTGACCTTCCAAGCCATCAAGGCTCAGCATCGCCTTACTGACCTTCCAAGACATCAAGACCAGCATCACCTTACTGACCTTCCAAGCCATCAAGGCCAGCATCACCTTACTGACCTTCCAAGCCATCAAGACCAGCATCACCTTACTGACCTTCCAAGCCATCAAGGCTCAGCATCGCCTTACTGACCTTCCAAGCCATCAAGACCAGCATCACCTTACTGACCTCCCAAGCCATCAAGGCTTAGCATCACCTTACTGACCTTCCAAGCCATCAAGGCTTAGCATCACCTTACTGACCTTCCAAGCCATCAAGGCTCAGCATCACCTTACTGACCTTCCAAGCCATCAAGGCTCAGCATCACCTTACTGACCTCCCAAGCCATCAAGGCTCAGCATCACCTTACTGACCTCCCAAGCCATCAAGGTCAGCATAACCTTACTGACCTTCCAAGCCATCAAGGCTCAGCATCACCTTACTGACCTCCCAAGTCATCAAGGTCAGCATCACCTTACTGACCTTCCAAGCCATCAAGGTCAGCATCACCTTACTGACCTTCCAAGCCATCAAGGCTCAGCATCACCTTACTGACCTCCCAAGCCATCAAGACCAGCATCACCTTACTTACCTCCCAAGCCATCAAGGCTTAGCATCACCTTACTGACCTTCCAAGCCATCAAGGCTTAGCATCACCTTACTAACCTTCCAAGCCATCAAGGCTCAGCATCACCTTACTGACCTTCCAAGCCATCAAGGCTCAGCATCACCTTACTGACCTCCCAAGCCATCAAGGCTCAGCATCACCTTACTGACCTCCCAAGTCATCAAGGTCAGCATCACCTTACTGACCTTCCAAGCCATCAAGGTCAGCATCACCTTACTGACCTTCCAAGCCATCAAGGCTCAGCATCACCTTACTGACCTCCCAAGCCATCAAGACCAGCATCACCTTACTGACCTCCCAAGCCATCAAGGCTTAGCATCACCTTACTGACCTTCCAAGCCATCAAGGCTTAGCATCACCTTACTGACCTTCCAAGCCATCAAGACCAGCATCACCTTACTGACCTTCCAAGCCATCAAGGTCAGCATCACCTTACTGACCTTCCAAGCCATCAAGGTCAGCATCACCTTACTGACCTCCCAAGCCATCAAGGCTTAGCATCACCTTACTGACCTTCCAAGCCATCAAGGCTTAGCATCACCTTACTGACCTTCCAAGCCATCAAGGCTCAGCATCACCTTACTGACCTCCCAAGCCATCAAGGCTCAGCATCACCTTACTGACCTCCCAAGCCATCAAGACCAGCATCACCTTACTGACCTTCCAAGCCATCAAGGCTCAGCATCACCTTACTGACCTTCCAAGCCATCAAGGCTCAGCATCACCTTACTGACCTCCCAAGCCATCAAGGCTCAGCATCACCTTACTGACCTTCCAAGCCATCAAGGTCAGCATCACCTTACTGACCTCCCAAGCCATCAAGGTCAGCATCACCTTACTGACCTTCCAAGCCATCAAGGCTCAGCATCACCTTACTGACCTTCCAAGCCATCAAGGTCAGCATCACCTTACTGACCTTCCAAGCCATCAAGGTCAGCATCATCTTACTGACCTTCCAAGCCATCAAGGTCAGCATCACCTTACTGACCTCCCAAGTCATCAAGGTCAGCATCACCTTACTGACCTTCCAAGCCATCAAGGTCAGTTATATAAGAGAATATACGAGTGATACTTATACTCTCCCCAAGTATAGCAGAAAGAAGAAACAAGTAACATTTAGTGGACCAGCTAGAAATACCCTTGATTTTTTTTTTTGGCCAACATCAGCATTACTTATGAACTTAATCGGAAATTGAATTTTAAATTATATATAAATAAGTAGTTTTCTTTTAAACTGGGTAATGTTACGAGCGACGTCACATTATTGTGTGAACGTTGACTTGTGTGACGTCACATTATTGTGTAAACTTACTTGTGTCACGTAACGTTACCGAATAAACGTTGACTTGTGGCGTAACATTACCGTGTAAACCTAGACTTGTGTGACGTCACATTATTGTGTAAACTTACTTGTGTCACGTAACATTACCGTGTAAACTCGTGTGACGTAACGTTACCGTGTAAACTCACTTGTGTGACGTAACGTTACAGTGTAAACTCTCATGTGTGACGTAACGTTACCATGTAAACTCACTTGTGTGACGTAACGTTACCGTGTAAACTCACTTGTGTGACGTAACGTTACCGTGTAAACTCACTTGTGTGACGTAACGTTACCATGTAAACTCACTTGTGTGACGTAACGTTACCGTGTAAACTCACTTGTGTGACGTAACGTTACCGTGTAAACTCACTTGTGTGACGTAACGTTACAGTGTAAACTCTCATGTGTGACGTAACGTTACAGTGTAAACTCACTTGTGTGACGTAACGTTACCGTGTAAACTCACTTGTGTGACGTAACGTTACCATGTAAACTCACTTGTGTGACGTAACGTTACCGTGTAAACATATCAATTTCGAGTAATATAAAAGTAAATTGATGGTTTGGTCGTTTTCCAGGAATCAGTTGGTTATGGAACTAATTTTAGACAAATTTCAAGTGATATTGTTACATAAAGTCGCCAACCAATCATCGTCCTTCGTGCGTCTGACCGTCAATCAGGGGGCGTGTGGTGGTGTGTGAGGCACTAGTGGGCGGGGCTTGTGACAGCCTCAGCCAATAAGCGATGACGGTAGCGAGGGCGTGTGAGTGTGGCTGGCGTGGTGCCCACTCAGGAGGTGAGGGCAAGTTAGTATACAGTGTGACACAGTTGGTGCTTCAGGCTCCCAGGTCAGCCTTCATCGCCTCCACCAGGTCAGTTCTCCCTGCTACAGTCCTGCGGGCATGGCTGACGGAGGGAATTATCACGGGAAAACGGTCCAAGCCATTACCACTATATAGCACTGGGAAGGGGTCAGGATAAGGATTTGGGATGGGACGGGGGGAAAGGAATGGTGGCCAACAACTTGGACGGTCGGGGATTGAACTCGGATCAGTATGAAGCGAGGCCATCGCTCTACCGTCCAACGCCAAAGTGGTTGTGGATGAGAACACGTTGTTCACCTGTCAGATGGGTGAACACTAGATGGCTTGTGTCAGCCAGTCCTAGTTAGTGGTCCTCCAGGGCTGACACCAGCGTCTGGAGCAGGTGCTCACGGACTGTACACGCAGTCCTCTCTACAGTGCTTGAACACTCACGCCAGATATAACAATTCAGTTTCATCCTCCAGAAACTTCTTTAACGATAGCATGTGTGACGTAACGTTACCATGTAAGCTCACCTGTGTGACGTAACGTTACCATGTAAACTCACTTGTGTGACGTAACGTTACCTTCTTTAACGATAGTTTAGCATTTCAAATACATTTATGACATCATTTGCTGCAATAATATATTGCATTTTTATTGCCAATTTATGGATTAATATGAACTTGAGCGCGAACTGCTGGTTACATAACCGCGTTCATTGTCTGACGAGCAGTTGAGTTATTTTCCTTTACATTTTCATGCGAGAGGAACCTCTCACTGGGGTAATAACACCATATTAGCACTAGGCTGCCTCTCCTCGCCCTCTGAAGCACCACACTAGGCTGCCTCTCCTCGCCCTCTGAAGCACCACACTAGGCTGCCTCTCCTCGCCCTCTGAAGCACCACACTAGGCTGCCTCTCCTCGCCCTCTGAAGCACCACACTAGGCTGCCTCTCCTCGCCCTCTGAAGCATCACACTAGGCTGCCTCTCCTCGCCCTCTGAAGTACCACACTAGGCTGCCTCTCTGAAGTCTGAAGTACCACACTAGGCTGCCTCTCCTCGCCCTCTGAAGCACCACACTAGGCTGCCTCTCCTCGCCCTCTGAAGCACCACACTAGGCTGCCTCTCCTCGCCCTCTGAAGCACCACACTAGGCTGCCTCTCCTCGCCCTCTGAAGCACCACACTAGGCTGCCTCTCCTCGCCCTCTGAAGCACCACACTAGGCTGCCTCTCCTCGCCCTCTGAAGCACCACACTAGGCTGCCTCTCCTCGCCCTCTGAAGCACCACACTAGGCTGCCTCTCCTCGCCCTCTGAAGCACCACACTAGGCTGCCTCTCCTCGCCCTCTGAAGCACCACACTAGGCTGCCTCTCCTCGCCCTCTGAAGCACCACACTAGGCTGCCTCTCCTCGCCCTCTGAAGCACCACACTAGGCTGCCTCTCCTCGCCCTCTGAAGCACCACACTAGGCTGCCTCTCCTCGCCCTCTGAAGCACCACACTAGGCTGCCTCTCCTCGCCCTCTGAAGCACCACACTAGGCTGCCTCTCCTCGCCCTCTGAAGCACCACACTAGGCTGCCTCTCCTCGCCCTCTGAAGCACCACACTAGGCTGCCTCTCCTCGCCCTCTGAAGCACCACACTAGGCTGCCTCTCCTCGCCCTCTGAAGCACCACACTAGGCTGCCTCTCCTCGCCCTCTGAAGCACCACACTAGGCTGCCTCTCCTCGCCCTCTGAAGCACCACACTAGGCTGCCTCTCCTCGCCCTCTGAAGCACCACACTAGGCTGCCTCTCCTCGCCCTCTGAAGCACCACACTAGGCTGCCTCTCCTCGCCCTCTGAAGCACCACACTAGGCTGCCTCTCCTCGCCCTCTGAAGCACCACACTAGGCTGCCTCTCCTCGCCCTCTGAAGCACCACACTAGGCTGCCTCTCCTCGCCCTCTGAAGCACCACACTAGGCTGCCTCTCCTCGCCCTCTGAAGCACCACACTAGGCTGCCTCTCCTCGCCCTCTGAAGCACCACACTAGGCTGCCTCTCCTCGCCCTCTGAAGCACCACACTAGGCTGCCTCTCCTCGCCCTCTGAAGCACCACACTAGGCTGCCTCTCCTCGCCCTCTGAAGCACCACACTAGGCTGCCTCTCCTCGCCCTCTGAAGCACCACACTAGGCTGCCTCTCCTCGCCCTCTGAAGCACCACACTAGGCTGCCTCTCCTCGCCCTCTGAAGCACCACACTAGGCTGCCTCTCCTCGCCCTCTGAAGCACCACACTAGGCTGCCTCTCCTCGCCCTCTGAAGCACCACACTAGGCTGCCTCTCCTCGCCCTCTGAAGCACCACACTAGGCTGCCTCTCCTCGCCCTCTGAAGCACCACACTAGGCTGCCTCCTCGCCCTCTGAAGCACCACACTAGGCTGCCTCTCCTCGCCCTCTGAAGCACCACACTAGGCTGCCTCTCCTCGCCCTCTGAAGCACCACACTAGGCTGCCTCTCCTCGCCCTCTGAAGCACCACACTAGGCTGCCTCTCCTCGCTCTCTGAAGCACCACACTATCTCCTCGTCCTCTGAAGCACCACACTAGGCTGCCTCTCCTCGCTCTCTGAAGCACCACACTAGGCTGCCTCTCCTCTCCCTCTGAAGCACCACACTAGGCTGCCTCTCCTCGCCCTCTGAAGCACCACACTAGGCTGCCTCGCCTCGCCCTCTGAAGCACCACACTAGGCTGCCTCGCCTCGCCCTCTGAAGCACCACACTAGGCTGCCTCTCCTCATAACACACACCTGGGGGAGAGGGGTCTCGCAAGAATGGTGTACAGGTTCATAACACTTCAGCTATATTGGTACCCTTGTCTGGGGCCGCCTCACACCTCAGCTATATTGGTACCCTTGTCTGGGGCCGCCTCACACTTCAGCTATATTGGTACCCTTGTCTGGGGCCGCCTCACACCTCAGCTATATTGGTACCCTTGTCTGGGGCCGCCTCACACCTCAGCTATATTGGTACCCTTGTCTGGGGCCGCCTCACACTTCAGCTATATTGGTACCCTTGTCTGGGGCCGCCTCACACCTCAGCTATATTGGTACCCTTGTCTGGGGCCGCCTCACACTTCAGCTATATTGGTACCCTTTCTGGGGCCGCCTCACACTTCAGCTATATTGGTACCCTTGTCTGGGGCCGCCTCACACCTCAGCTATATTGGTACCCTTGTCTGGGGCCGCCTCACACTTCAGCTATATTGGTACCCTTGTCTGGGGCCGCCTCACACCTCAGCTATATTGGTACCCTTGTCTGGGGCCGCCTCACACTTCAGCTATATTGGTACCCTTGTCTGGGGCCGCCTCACACCTCAGCTATATTGGTACCCTTGTCTGGGGCCGCCTCACACTTCAGCTATATTGGTACCCTTGTCTGGGGCCGCCTCACACTTCAGCTATATTGGTACCCTTGTCTGGGGCCGCCTCACACCTCAGCTATATTGGTACCCTTGTCTGGGGCCGCCTCACACCTCAGCTATATTGGTACCCTTGTCTGGGGCCGCCTCACACCTCAGCTGGGCCGCCTCACACCTCAGCTATATTGGTACCCTTGTCTTGGGCCGCCTCACACCTCAGCTATATTGGTACCCTTGTCTGGGGCCGCCTCACACCTCAGCTATATTGGTACCCTTGTCTGGGGCCGCCTCACACCTCAGCTATATTGGTACCCTTGTCTTGGGCCGCCTCACACCTCAGCTATATTGGTACCCTTGTCTGGGGCCGCCTCACACCTCAGGTTCCCGATAAATGACTAATATCATTGATTTTCTCAGCGTTACTGTTAGTAGATTGTCTCTGAAGTGACATTATGACATGTGTAACACGTGCGCAGAACACGTGTCCATGTGTTTGTGAACACGTGGCTGGGCGCTCCTGCAACACTGGAGCGCTCGCACATGCGCACAGGGCTGATATTGTCAGCCTTGTTACCGCTGATGGTCTCGACAAGGTAATATTATAACACATCAATATATCTCTTTCTAAAAGCCCCTCTGAACATATTGGGGTTTTTGTGCTAATATTGGAGGGACTCCTGGCAGGCGTGGCACTCGCGTAGTTGTGCTTGTGGGGGTTTGGCTCTGGCTCTTTGGTCCCGCCTTTCATAACACACACCTGCTGGGGGGGGGGGCGCCTCACAGGACTAGTGTACAGCTTCATAACACACATCTGTTATTGGACAAGTTGGCTCTCAACAGGTGTACAGATTCCTGAGCCTACTGGGCTCTATCATATCTACATTTGAAACTGTGTATGGAGTCTGCCTCCACCACATCACTGCCTAATGCATTCCACCTGTTAACTACTCTGACACTGAGTTCTGACACAGATCGTTCCTGTGTCTGTATAGTCTGAGGGTAGTTTCCGGTGTTGACATGATCGTATGCTCTACAGTGGAGTTATACATTAATTTCTTAGAAGGAAAGTATTACAGTGAAGTAAAATGTTTATGCAAACTACTAGTCCATGTTAAATAGCTCTCAAGGAAAATATATTTACTACTAGTTATGAAAATAAAAACATTATTAGATAATATTTGTTGTATGAGAGTGTGCCTGACTTAGACCATTAATATGTGGTCTATGTGTATATATATATATATATATATATATATATATATATATATATATATATATATATATATATATATATATATATATATATATATATATATATATATATATATATGCCGTACCTAGTAGCCAGAACGCACTTCTCAGCCTACTATGCAAGGCCCAATTTGCCTAATAAGCCAAGTTTTCATGAATTAATTGTTTTTCGACTACCTAACCTACCTAACCTAACCTAACCTAACTTTTTCGGCTACCTAACCTAACCTAAAATATAAAGATAAGTTAGGTTAGGTTAGGTAGGGTTGGTTAGGTTCGGTTATATATCTACGTTAATTTTAACTCCAATAAAAAAAAATTGACCTCATACATAATGAAATGGGTAGCTTTATCAGTTCATAAGAAAAAAAATAGAGAAAATATATTAATTCAGGAAAACTTGGCTTATTAGGCAAATCGGGCCT